GCTGGATTCTGGCTACCTTTTTTGTTTGTGTTTATTCTTTGTCTCCTTCTTAGCTCAGTCACTTCTTTGTTTAGCAGCTGTCTGTAAATGTAAGCAAAATCCAGACTGGTAAAGATGGTGCTTAGTGTAGAGTTCCTCTTTACACTGATGATCTGTAGTGAAACGTGTAGAACGACAGAGGGGCATCTCGGCTGAAGCTCTCTAATCAAATCTGATCTCTAGTGACACCTTGGCTTCACAGAAAGCCATCTTCCTTCCCGTGTCCCCCAAACATAAACACGGCTGTTCAGGAAAGCTTTCACACTTTCACTCCAAAACACTTGCGTTTGCAGAAAAACTCCCGTTCCTTGTTGGTGTGGGTGATGTGGTTAGGATGGTTGGCCTTGGCTCGTTTCCTCCTCCTTTCCTTTCCTCCCCACCCAGTCTTGTGTTCTGAGTCATACATAGCATAAGGTACACGGACGTATACGGGGGCTTATGCACACTGCAGCCTCCTCTGCATCTGCAGATTATTGATTGATCTTTGTCTTCTGACTGATTACTGTATACTCAAACATCATTGTGGTTTCCAGGCTTTTTACCAGGCTGTACCTCACAGCTGTGTCAGCAAAAGCCAAACACTAAATAACACCAGTCAGCACCATTTCACATTCTGAAAAAACTTTAAAATGCAAATAAGTTTCTTGGCTTAAAAATGTATGAAAAAAGTGTTGATACCTTATCTGTGTTTTGGTTTGATTTATTTTTAGTTTAAAAACTAATTTCCAAAATGAAAAAAACTATTGTTTTTGTTTTTTTCCTTTTTAAAACTTATATATTACAGTTTAATATTGAACTGATAAAAAAAGTGATTTTCTGCCAAAATAAAAATGGGCACAATATTTGCAGCTTCAAATTCAGCCAATTAAACAATGTTGGCAAACATTTGTTTGTGAAGGAACGTTAGTAGAAATTTGTCGTCCTTTTAAAATAAGAAAAAAGAACAAACCTCAGACATAGGAATAGAAAAAAAATAAGTGAAATAAACAATATTATGATTAGGATATTGAGTAGGGAATAAAATATTACGATACATTGGAACCAATTATAGCCATTAGGTTCTGCTTATCAGTTATTGGGAAATTATGGATGTCAAGAAGAGCATCAGCTGGAAAAGTCCAGAAATCAGTAATTCCTTAAAATACTAGTGACTACAGAACCCAGACCACACTTTGCATTGATTATAATAGTTCTTCAATGCTTTGTGTCATTATACAGCTGCACATTACCATAAATGTCGCAGGGTTTTGTGTGGATGAGTTGTGAATAAGAAACCCTCTGTAATGTTTACAATGTTTAATGTATGCTTTTACTTTGAAGTCTAGATACCAAGGTGAAGACAGGAAATGCTGTGGTTGCCAGCTAAAAGAAGTCCCAAAATCAAAGATCAGAAAGGCTGTTGAAATCCTAGCAGTGACATTTTCCGAGGATGAAACAGACTAGATGCACATTATAAAAGTTAATCATAACTTTAAAATAAGTGACTCTAAGCGTCAGTTCCATTATTTTCAGTCAGAACGTCAAAAAAACTGCACCCACAAAATGTAAAGCCTGTCTTTTAATCATTAAAAGGAGGGACAAACGTATTTTTTTTTTTTTTGGTCGGGGGTGCAGATTTGTGTTTTAAGATGTAGTTGTAAAACAAAAGAAAATGAAAGGACTTTTTATTTTTCAATGCTGAACTGTGTCTATTCATCCAGCACTTTTGTTTCCAAACAAAGATAACCCAAGTAAATATAAAACAGTTTAAAAATGATTTTATTCCTAAAGGAAAATAAATGGTCTAAGCTAATCGAGCCTCATGTGCTGTAGCAACAAACCAAATAACTGGATTTTTAACCCTTTCCAGAGACAACTCTTCAGGTTTAAAAAAAAAAGGCCCAATCAGATTTGCTGGTGTGGTTCAGATATTTGCCTTGCCTCATAACCAATCAAAGTTTTATCTTAAGTTCCTAAACTTTTCCCTCAATTACATAATGTTTTCCAGCTCTTCAAGAAACTATGGTTTGCTCTTGTTTTTACCTTTTTTGTTTTTTTAAATGCTTCTAGTTTTATGCCAGATTTACTGGATGCACAACTTCCCAAAAGTTCTACTCTAGTCTCATCTGTCCAATATGTTCTGTTTTTCAGTGATATTTCTTGTTCCCATTGCAGCCTGAAGTGACCCCAATCCGATTTTTTTTTTTTTTTTGCCCACATGGGCCATGTATCTGATTTCGTTTATGATGGTCTGAGATGCACAGATCCATTTTTTTTTTCAAATGCAACCCAGGCCACTTGGCCATGTGGTCCTAAATCCGATACATATCTGATCTTTTCAAATGCAACCTGTGTCTGTACAACCAGGTCGCATTCATCTGACCAGAACCTAATAAATACTCAATAAAGTTCCCTGCTCTGCATCTTACAATTCAGAAGCAGGGAGAAAAACAACTATGGTGGACGATAATGCAGAGAGCAGTCTTTCCTTTTGATCTTCTTGAAAAGATTGCTTTGTCAAGGCGCTGGCTCCGGGGTGTAAATAAATGAAAGATCACTACATGCGCTCAAGCACTACATGCATGTTAACTTACGTAAACGTAGAACATGCTCGCTACTTGTGACGCTACTGCCTTCTCTATTGCATATGCGGTTAAGTTGTATCAATGCAGTTCACACAGGAGATCAGATACAAGTCGCATATGTTTAGAAATGTGAATTACTACACAAAATTGGATTTAAATAAAAAAATATCAAAATTGAGTTTTAAGGCCTGCAGTGTGAACACCACATTAAAAACTTAAATTCTCAGAACTTCTTCAATTCTGGCCTTGGATCCCCAGTACCTTTAGGATGTGTCTCTGTTCCACACCTCTTTAGCATGCAGTCCTGCTAATGACTTGATTATTTGACCCCGGTGTGTTGAAGCACAGATGCTTATAAAAGGTGGAGGACATCAGACCTCGAGCACTGGAATTGAGCAACCCTGATCTCGGTGCTGTTTTTGGTTCTTTTGAGACCTTCTGGGTGATTATTTGATGTGTTCTTGGAGTAATTTTGATAGGTTGGCTTCTCTTGAGAAGGTTTACCACCGGCTTATGTTTCCTCCATCTGTGAATAATGGCTCTCACTGGGGTTTACCACAGCCCCCTTCTGTAGACTAATAGATGTTTATGATTTTGTGTCTTAACCATTCTTGAATTTGTTTAGGTCCAGGCCATGATCTGTTGCTTTGGGAGATCTTTTGGCCTATTTCATGTTGTTTTGCAGGATCTATTTGGTGGTTTCTTGATTCTACAAATCTGGGAGGGACAGTCAGCACTAAGTGTATCTTGTAAAATTGAACTCAACTTTCTTTTTTTTTTCATGAATAACATGTTCACTATAATGCATTTTCTCTTTATTTAGATTATGTCCCAATGGTGAAACTGGAAACGAGTGTCAAAGCATTAACCTCGAGGGGAGCAAATACTTATTTAGAGTGCTGTTTTACAGCTTTCCGTCTCATCTCAACCTCTTTCTGGTTTGAAACTTACCTCCCTCTTTTTGAAGCATACACTCTCAAATTGAATATCTCGCTTCACTCTGAAGAATGACCTCATCTCCTCAGAGCGTTGTCTCAGGTTTCACACAGAGCAGACGGTCTCATCGTCCAACTCAGCCGCTCACTCAGAAATGTTTCTGCCCTGTTTTTCCCATCATTGCTAGGAGAGAATAAGACCCTGACACAGGAGGAAACAATGAGGAGATAATGCTTACGTGCATAGGAGGGAGACAAGGGGGGATAGCAGTGAGGCCGCCGAGGGGACGGGAGGCTGCAGTACCAAATTTGGAAAATGAATCCTTCACATCAGAGCAAAAGCCCCCCTTTTATTGTACAAACAGCCAACGGGTCCAGCTCACATCTGTACTTGTTTTTCTTCTAAGCTTTCTTCGCTTGCACATTCTACTCTTTTTATGACTTCAGGGAAATGCAACAGCAGATATCGTAATCCTATTTTGAGAACTGGAAATTTCCTTGAATTGTTGAAAGACTTGATAGCTGATTGTCTATAGCATCCGCCTCTGTATTAACCAGCTGTTACCACCAAAGTAGGTCAAACTACACCTGTACCTCTGCTGTCTGTCAGTATTCACATTTCTTTGGCTTAAAAAAGGCTTATGCTGATGAACTAAAATGATTAAAGTACTTTCTCTTGTAACTCACCATCCATGGTATGGTAATGGTAAGCATGTGTCCCTGGGGTCCAATGTCCTGGATGGTTTTAATCTTTATCTGTTTTAATCTACTGATGCTATTGCTCAGGTAACTCCTCAGCCTCTCAGGGGCCTACAGGGGCCCATTATATCGCCCCCTACTGGGCTACATGGTGTCTGGAATTCCAAAACAAAAAACAAGTCTTGTTTTTTTTTTTTTTTGCTTCTGTTTTTAATATCTATGCTAAATGTAACATCATGTTCTTCATCCACTGTGGCAGTACTGGTACAATAGTATTTTTAAATGGTAATCACCAATCTCCAGTATCACACCATGCCTCATCATCACATCATTACATTATACACGTTTGTCAATGTTTGGATCCCTAGTTCCAGCCATATCATACTATAACTCAGCGTTCTGGATAATGGCACAGAGAACTCGCTGCCAAGAAAGATACACTCAGTCTTTGCCCGCTTTTCATTTCCAAATCTCTGATATGATAACTGTACAGAAGAACTGCTTTAATTAGATAAACTGCTTGGGAAACCATTAGTTTTTATACTTAACAAGCAGGCATTATTAGGGTTTAACAGACTCACATAATAAAAACTGTCTTAATAAAACTATCATTTCCATTTGGGAATAGTTTTTGTTACAGATAATGGGAATAAAGATAAAAAGAAATAAAAAAAAATGCATTTTTATCTTGGAAAATATGAACCCATATAACTAAAATATCCTGCATGTTGGCTGAACTACGTATTCTGTCACCCGTCCTCAGTGAAATACATCCGCGAGGTGTCGCCGCTCTTCAAGAAGCCGTCCCTGGTGGCCGACCTGCCGTGGGACGGCGTCCGCCCACAGTCTCCCAGCTACAGCGGCAGCGAGGACTCTGGGTCGCCCAAACACAGCAGCTCATCGTCCACATCCAAAGATAGGAAGGTCATCAGCCTGAAGATGTGCTTCATCAGCAGGAACCTCACCATGCCTGATCTAGAGAACAGGTTTGTTGTTATGCTTAGTTTGAAATACCTGAGGATGTGGGAGGGTTAGGTGTGGCTGGGTGTGGGATTGGTCCCTGTGTGTGTCTCTCATGTTCATTAGATTGGAATGTTTGTTTTAACAGACATTACTAGCAGGACACCCACGGCCTCCTATGAACATGTTCATCTAAAATGCGGAAGATAAATCACTGGATCAGCCTCCTCACCGCTGTGTTGGACTGTTTTGCCTACAGCTTGGGAAAAAAAGTGGCTTCAATGCAAAGAAAATGTGCAAGCATTAAAGATTAAAGTGATGGATGGTTAAATGTCTCTAATGATGAGGAAAGTCAGCCAAATGGAAATGTGTCTCTAGTCCCCATCAATATGTTTTCTCCTGTTTTTCTTGCTGTAGTGGTGCTAACATTCTCATTAAAGTTTGGGGTAAAATTAAAACATAAGTTTATGAAATACTGCAAGGGGGAAAAAAAAAAGAAGCTTTTACATTTTTACAGTTTCCCCACATTATCTTTTTTTAATTCCTTCTTTTCCATGTAGGCTGCTGGAGCTGCACTCCCCGGATGGCCAGCACACCGTGGTGCTACGCTGCAAAGATGGAGCTTCTGCCAACGCCTGGTTCACCGCCATACACACCAACATAGCCGCCCTCCTGCCACAGACCCTGGCACACATCAACGCCTACCTGGGGGCGTCATCTACAGCCTCCACACACCCCCACTTGAAACACATTGCCTGGTTGGCTGAACAGGTACGATACGCAGCTTCGCCAACCTATTATACACCTTTACTTCTGATCAAGCTGCAGCTGCCCTAAAAACAACAGATATTCTGGAGAAACAGAATTACCTAAGGGAAAAGCTATTAAAAAAAAATAAAATAAACATATCAGTGTCTTTCTTATTAACTACTTTGACCTTTCCAGTCATACTTCTCATAAGAATCAAGTAAATTTTTTTGATTTAATTTTTGTATATTCAGTTTGTATATTAAGGTTAATACTACCCTCTGGCTTTTAGAGATGATGCCCTAAAGTAAAATGAATTACTGCAGACTCCATGACATCTGCTGTAAAATAGATCAAATGAGTTGTTTCAAAACAATCCTCAAGGGAAAAGCTTTGATTTGGCATTTGGTTGAATGCACACCCCTCTGTTCTTTACCGTGGTCATTGTGTAACACCATCTGGCACGAAAACAAGCTGATGCTGAATTACATGCATTGGAGAAAGATCCCTAAACCGAGAAAAACGCTTCGCCTTTGGGATCTTATTGAAGTAAAGAACGAATTAGCTTCACACAGTAGCACTGCAGCATTCCCTGAAGACACAGCAGCGTCCTGAATCGTCTTGAATTAGGTAGATCGGAGGAGGAGCTTCACCAATGAGCAGAGCTGATGGAACAGTCTGGTGGCTCTGAACTCATGTCTTAATGCCTCCATTTGTTAAATAAAATGTCAAAATAATTTAACTTAATTAATTGTGGTGAAAGAGACAAGTAGATACTAAAACATAAGTGTTCACATCTCAGTGTGTGCTTTTAATCAGTGATAATTTTTTTTTTTATTTGTATGTTGTAATAACGGCTTGTGTCACTACTAAAGACATAATTTTGGACGGGGGACATATGGGAAATTTTTTCGTTTTGGTCCCCTGCACTTTTTACTGTCAATTCAATTCAGTTTATTTGCATAGCACCAGTTCACAACACATATCATCTCAAGGCCCTTTACAGTTCACCAGATCATACAGTCTAATTGATTCAAAGTTTTCTATCTAAGGAAAACCAATTGATTGCATCGACTCATTGACTCGAATGCAATCCCTCACACTAAGCATGCTTGTAGCGATGGTGGAGAGAAAAAAACTCCCTTTTAACAGGAAGAAACCTCCTGGCTCAGTGTGAGCGGCCATCAGTGTGAGCGGCCATCTGCAGAGGCCGACTGGGGTAAAAGGAGACAGAAACAGAGATACAAAAAGTCGCTGTAAGTCGAGCACTGGGACCAAGCAGAATACCGCAGCTCAAGCTGAAGCCTACTTCCCTGAGTTTAGGCAAAAGACAACAGAACATGAGGGAATCTGCTATTGTATGTTAGGAATTTATCTCCCCATTGAGTCACAAAATCTAGAAGGGTTGTTATATCAGATATATTAATTATCATCAAACAATACATCTAAAAATACAATCTATGTATATGATTTTATATATCCAAACTCATAATAACTGTAAAACTATCTGTTTTTAATCTAGATAGATTGTTGCACCCCAAATCGTCAAATTGTTCATGTCATCCATCCATACATTTTGTCAGGAGAGGAATTGCAGAAATGTAACTAAAAGTGGAGGAAACAGAAGTTTTATTTAACTTTTATATGAGTTATATTAACAAATACTTGCAAGCACCCCACCCCCACTTCTGAAATAAAAATTTCATCCATGGGTAATACAAATAAATGTTACTGCTATGGGACATATAAAGGATCATCTTGCACCAAAATAAAGTGTCTTTACAAAATATATATATCTGGCGCATGTTTCTACTGTGTAAACATTGATTTGATCCAAGCACATGTATTTAACAGTAGACCTGTGCGACTTCTGCCTTTCTGGCAACTTTTCATGCAGTTTTTATTTGTTTGTTTTTTTGTAAAACTTTTCCTTCAATTGTAAAGGAGAACTGATCCAGACTTTACTGACTGAGCTATCAGCTGATTAATGTTTTCCTTCGTTATTTGTGTGTGGTGCAGAACGTCATACCTTGGAAGTCTATCTCAACCCAAATGGGTCATTTTATATCAGTTACTGACGCAAAAGAGTATCTTTGATTAACTAGTTTTCAGATATTTTCATTTATATGGAAATACTAAATGACAGCCCATCTTTATGTGCTGAAATGCAATAAAATCAAGGCAGACTTAGTAATACATAGAATAGAATTACAGTGCCTGGCAGTGAATTCTGTTTTTCTTTGTGGTCTGCCTTATAGATTTGGGTTTCCTTTAAAACAACAAAAACAAATTAGTTTTACATCTAGATCCAACAAATAAAGGTATCAAATATTGAGCATTAAGCAAAGAAACATGTTTTTTTATTCCTCATGAATAGGGGTAGAGGTTTTCAGCCAAACTGTACACAATAATACAAGATTTGTTAGCTTTGAAAAAAGATATGCCATCAATAGTATTTAGGTCTAGTTTTTTTTTTTTTAGACTTCTAAATGCACCTACCCTGAACTCTGAGATACAGAGAGACTTTTCTCCTCCAACCTAAATGCACAGGAAGAGCATGTTTTCTCAAAACTAACCAACTCTCTAAATTCTAACATAGCGACCAAATCAGGGCTTGTTCTGAAGTGGTTACAGGAACGATACCTGCGTTCATATCTTTTCACTTTAAACCATTCATTCAGGCCCAGAGTGAATGAATGCATGTGTTGTTGTGTTTATCTTGGCACGGCTACGACAGGAAATACAGAGGGAAGTTTCCGTCACATTACGTTATTTCCTGTAAAGCAGCACGCACCCCACAATCAAACCTACTGGTTTGATGTTGTTGCTCAATGGTGGCACAGTTGAATAGAATCGAAATGTACTTTGAGATGGTACCCTCTGAAGAGGATGTTTTGTCAGCACCGGTTTCATAGTAAGAGCTAATTTTTATGGGGAAGCAAGAATGCCCTGGATGATGTTCACTTATCAGATGACACTTGGCATGAAGGTATATGGAAAAAGCCTTAGATCTGTCCCCTTATGAGAAGAGTTTGAGATGTTCACACTCCAACCACAGACTTGGTCTAAGTGTAAGTCTGTGGTTAGTCACCTGCAATTCCCCTTAACTTGAAAACCCAACAGAAGCACAATACTCTAAAACTCCAACCTTCAGTTCTAGCAACATAAAAAAGATCAAGGCATTAAGAGTTCAAATAGAGAAAAGGACTGACCCAGCAGATTTATAAAAAAAACAAAAACTTTTATTTGTGATGACTCATTGACTACAGGAAGTGGAAAACTGGATTTTTCCTATAAACTAAAGCAATTCATTTATTTAACTTGGTATGATTATTACGCATATCAAGTTCAGAAGGAAACCAGTCACTTCCAGTCTGAGAAGCACAATTTTTTCCTCGAATATTAAAGAGTACATGAGATTTGCTCACATTAAACTGAAGAGTTGTGCTTTCTCAGTTCAGTCTGTGTTAGTTGTCATTTCTCACCCATAAAACATGCTGGAAATGTCCCATTGCAGTGTGATAAGATAAATTGATGCGTTTTAGCAAAAATACAGCTGCTTAAAAATCTCTCATCAGACACTGGTGGTCTGATATTCGATGGTACTAAGCTGCCGTCATTGCTCCGTCATACTGATGCCCTGTCTGCTTTGCATGTTGGTAAGATATGAAGATAAGCAAACTGAATGCAATCTCCAGGAAAACCAAGTAAAACCCTCCACTTAAACGTATTTTTCCCTCATTTGGTTCAGTGGTAATGAATGCAGATAAAGCAGCTATTCAGTTAATACTACTACTCAGTTCACTTTTTTACCTGAATCAAGTTATGATTTCAGACCCAAGATGACAATTTTGTAACTGCTTTTTTGGAAGCAGTTACGCTTTCCATTCTTTTTAGAGCTAAATTCTTAGCAGAAGTTGCTTATCTTTCTTTATTTTATGCACTGAGACACACCACGTGATGACAAATACAGATTTTACAAAGATGTATGAAAGGTTTGTCTCTGTATGTATGTAGCTGTGTCTGTGTATTAGGGGTGGAAC